AAAAAACTTCCTGGTTGGACTCATCACTGTACAGTTTTTTCATTATCAGATGCTTTAACTTTTCAGAATTATGTTTTGTATAGTGGTATAAATTTATATTTTCAGTTTTTCCAAGGTGCCAATTATGGAACTCTTTGTGCTTTGATGCTCAAACCAAATTCTGGAAATTGTCATTTAACTAGATCTGTTATAAGAGGACAACTGATATTACCAACCTTTGAGAACTGTTACGGCCAGAGGTCWTTCTTCTATGTTTATACTAAAGCATGGAATGACATTCCTCAAAATATAAAGTTCATTTCAACACAACAGCCCTTTAAGAAGACACTTGTCTGCCATCTGCTGGACACCTTTTTTTGTGATATTTAGGTGTCCTCTTATTCAAACGCTGCCTTTTGAAATTTGGGATGCTTGTTTGTCTTTGTGTTTATAGTGCATAATGATGTGTTGTGATGTTGGATTTCTGAGTGTTTTATGTTCTGCAGAACAGGAACCTGCTGTAAAACAGCAATTATGCTGAGTCAGGCTTGATCCTTATTCTTTTCCTGTTTACAGTTTTTATTGATTGCTTTGTCCTGTTTGAAGAAACTGGGAACCTCTCAGTCTTCATCATCACCATCTCAAAAACAATCAATAAAAACTGCATTCCAACAGAGGACACATGGAAATAAAAATAAAATCCTTTACTGTGTGAGAAATTAGGTAACTAAAAAACACAGTCTTTTAGGCCTTTTATTGTCATTGTACAGAGCACAATGAAATTACTGTTCAGAACACCCATTCAGAAGAAGACAGAACATAACAAACATAGGAGAACAGGTACTCTGGGCCATGCTCCCACTGACCCTGCACAGAGCAAGGATCATCTTCATGAAGACATCATGAGGAGGTGCAACCCTCCTAAAAAAACTAAAAACCACACAAAGACAGATGAGGAAAAACAAAAACAAAACATAACATTACTATAAGAGTACAATAAAACAACACAGGCCTGCAGACTGATTGATTGAAAATTGAAAAATTACGTGAAGAAGTGTCAAACAGGTGCTTTTGGTGTTTCATACTGACTGCTAAAAGGAAGTTTGGACTTCTGTTTTGCAAAAGGGTGGAAAACCGTGTCAATCCAATGAGAATGGGTTAAGACATTCTGCTCTGCTGAGATGGTGATGATGAAGACTGAGAGGTTCCCAGTTCCTTTAAACAGGTCAAACCAGTCAATAAAACCTGTATTTACCTAATTTCTCACACAGTAAAGGATTTTATTTTTATTTTCATGTATTCTTTTTTGGAATATTTCATTTGTCAGACACCGTCTGAAAAAAAATGTAATCAATAAAATTTGCATCAAAGGATATTTGCTTCTGGATGCATTTTTTGCAAGAGGGCAAATTTGACTACAAACGGCACTGGCATGTAAGCTACGTAGTCATATAGGCTACAATGACAAGCAAAGGTGCACTGATTCACACATGAGTGCTTTATTTTGTGTTTTGTTGCCCATTGTGTACTGATTGTATGGAGGTACTCTTACATTGTGTTAAATTTGAGTTTTTTGAAGGCAAAATTTGCTTTTGTTCCACATTTTAAATGTTTTGGCACAGTTAGTGCCTTTTACAAACAAAATGTGTCATTTTGACCACTGTGTCAATGTTTATGTCTCTGCGTTAACTGTTCGGAAAATGTGGGTTTTGAGTTGACAGCTGCGTCAAAACAATCAATAAAAACTGTAAATAAGCCAATCAACCAACCAACCAAGCAACTTTCAGATGTCTGGACCTTAAATGTGGTGAAGCTTATTTTATGTTACAACGGCCTGCCATACCGCTCAACTGTGGACAACACCGGTGTTGTACGAAATTCAGTTCCTCTGTGAAAATCTGTTTCCCCTGTGCTGGAAGCGCCTCCCTCATAGGATTGGTCTGACGTTATGCCTGGACCAGTGATTCTCTCTAATGTTAACCACTAAGGGGAACAGATTTTCACGGGGGAACTGAAATTCGTACAACACCGGGTCCTCCGAACAGTGCAGCCTCTATAATGATTAATGATATCTTTAATAATATAGATAAATRTTTTGGTGTCTCACTATTTGCTGATGATGGCATCATTTGGAAAAGAGGGAGAAACACTGAATTTATGAACAGGAAAGTGCAGGAAGCCTTAAATAGGGTAGAAGCTTGGGCTTTAGAATGGGGATTTAGGTTCTCAACATCTAAATCTAAGTTTGTTGTTTTCACAAATAGGAAGGTGAATACTAATGTGGATCTTAAATTATATGGGAATATTATAGAAAGGAAAGAGCAAATTAAGTATTTGGGCATATGGTTTGATAAAAAACTAACATGGAAAATGCATATAGATAAAATAGTGGAAAAAAGTAAAAGAATTTTAAATATTATGAGATGTCTGAGAGGCAGAGAATGGGGAGCAGACAGGAAAGCATTAAAAACAATCTATATCGGACTAATTCGTTCTATTTTTGACTATGGATGTATTCTATATAATTCAGCTTCCGGTAATCTATTGACAAAAATAGATAAAATACAATATCAGGCGCTAAGACTTTGCTGCGGAGCGATGAAGACAACTCCAGTTTCAGCTCTACAGGTTGAGATGGGTGAGATGCCGCTGGAGCTCAGGAGAGATCAACTAGCCTTAACTTATTGGGCAAACATTAGAGGACAAAATGAGAGCCACCCTCCATGTATAACATTACAACCTTGTCAAGAGAAAGAAAAAAAGCAAATTAATAGTTTTGGATGGATAATTTTAGATAAAGTAAATGACATAGGGATTGATAAATACTTAATTAGTCCAGTGGTTGTTACTCCTGTCATTCCAATATGGGTTTGTGATCAGGCTGAAGTTGATTTAAAACTGCTGGAAAAGGGAAGAAAATTGGAAAAGAATGAAGTGGAAAATTACATAAGGAAAAAATATTCAGATTATATTCAAATATACACAGATGCCTCAAAAATGGTAAATAATCAAGTTGGTATATCATTCATTGCTCCAGATTTAAACTTTATGAAGAATAAAAGAATAAATAATAAACTGACAGTGTATACAGGTGAACTC